CTGCAGGCGATGAAACAATTACTTATTACTATAATAAGTCTTTAAGTTAACGCTTCAAAAATACTCACAGTATGTCGACACAAAGCAATTCTAGGGCTTGAAGACCGCTCTCAGCTTACGTCACAAACTTGAACTTACATAGAGAATTCACCAAAGCCATAAATCATACGACGCATAGGTTACAACTTTCATTGCAATTCTCACAAAAAAATATATTTATGTACATAAACAGCTATACAAATTATAAGCAGTGTTCTCAAAAGTGCAATCACGGGATATAAATGAAAAACCCGTTTTCCACAAACAAACAACGTAATGATAAAGAACTGTTCAAGATTCAATACTTCAACATTGAGAAAATAACAAAAACTTGTCCAACAGAACTGCAGTCGATTATATGTTAATGAGCTTAAATATCAAAAACAAAAGTAAATTTGGCAAATTCAGATAAAGGCATGACTGAGATGGGAAAAAGATAGGGAGAAGCAATGAGAGCGTACATGCAATGGCACAACCCCGAATAAAAACTCGTACGACACTGATTATGCATTTCACCCGAATTAGATCAGTAAGTTCTGAAAAGTACTGCAAAACGATCATCTTAAAACTCCTGCGACACGTTTGATTTTATCTGAATATTGACTAATATTTTAGTCAAAATATTACCATGTTCAAAGCTGTTACTAAAAAATAATTCACAATGAGCAAACTTCATATCGTATAAGGAGAAATTGGATTGAGAGGGCTCTCAGTCCACTGATATGTTCGTATGAACTCTAGTTGTGCAAATTGTGCAAAGACGCCTCAAAACTCACCGAATCGATCGGCCAAATGCATAATCAAGGGTTTGAAAACAAAAGGCAAACATTATTATGACAAGCAAACAGGTAGTATAGAACAAAAACCGGAGGGCTGTTTTGGAATGTGCCTACTGCTCCCATCGCGTCATTGGTTCTTGGTACATTTCAAAAGTGGAATAGATAATTTGTCCAGGTTCACCATCACCTGGCGATAAACCGTGACCATCCTGTGAGATCGAGTCCGTTACTGGTGATAAACCAGATGCAGGACTTAGTCCAGTTTCAGTCGTCATTACTTCTGTACAAGAAAGATTTTGGAAAAGTTGATTTGAAATAGAAATGTCAAAAAATACCATTCATTTGGGCTCTTTGACGCGCTTCTTCCTGGGCCCGTTTCCTCTGGCGCCTCTGTGCGTCGCGCATTGCGTTGTATTGTCTACGTTCCTCACTGAAATCATTTAAGAATCAGATAGAGTAGAGCAAAAAAACAGCGGAAGCATTACACATCAACACTTCAAAAGTATTCCAGACACATTTATATAACATCTAGAGCCAGACGCTTTGTGCATTATTATTGAAGCTTTCTACTGATAAAATGGGAACAAGTTTTTACAGCAAGGAACAAACCTGTTCATTCTATGATATTTCGCTCGGGCTTGTTCAGCTCTTCTTGCTCGTCTCATCTGAGCTTCTGCAATAGCTCGTCGGGTTTCTTCATCGAGAGTATCCAGTTGGCAGGTTTCAGCCAGATGGCACAACTCTTCATCTCGTTGCCTCGCCTGGACAAATAC